ATTGTTAACATTGATAAATCATGATCACTAAATTAAAAGCTGTTATTCACAAATCAAATTAATCAGTAAAATATTCATATGGAAATGAAAATAAGTGTCAGATAAGAATAAATAGTAGTTAATCACTGTTTCGAAGCAATTTTATGTATTTGAAAAAAGAAAGAACAAATATTGTAACGAAATAACATGAATTTATTTAGTTCGAGGATTCTACTCAGTTATTTACAACCTAGAACCGAAGTATTAATCATTAAAAAGAAATAAGCTTACATACTCTTTATGTCAGAACTGTCTAAAATAAACTGAGTTAAAATGTGGAGACAGAATAATCTTAAGAGGCCATAATACAGAAGAATTAGAATTGTTCAAACGTTCGCTTACTTATCGGTTAAATATTTGAATATTTTAGAAGAGTATGAAGAAAGAAGATAGATTATGTAATATGGACTAGTTCAGTAAAGTTCAGAATTAAGTATTAAGATACTAGAATTTTGATTCAATTTTATAGAAAAATAAAGATAATGTCCTACGTAATAATCTCACAGAAATAAAGTCACTAGGATAAAATAAGATTTCTAATTGTTGCTTTTTGGATACATGAATTCTGTTTTGCATTGTTTTATTGGAACAGCATCGGTAAAGTGTAACAGTTTTCAATTTCTTTATTTGTTAATTACTTTGAAAATGTTCACAACTTACACAACATATCTACTGTTTAATAAAATTTACAAGTGGAAAAAGTTGTATGAAACATTTTATACATTTTTTTCAGAATAGTTACTAGTTAAATACTTAGAATTCATGAATTCCGCATAGTTTCTATGGACAATTCCCAGTTGTACTTAATCATACATGAATTTTTTATCGTTTAAATGATTAAAATGGGAAATAACTGAAATCCATTAAAAAGGTTTTAATTAACTACAATAAAGATTTAAAAACATTTTTCAAATTAACTATTCATGAAGAAACAATATTATTTCTACGCTTTGGTTATTGATTTATCGAGTCTAAATTATGATAACATTTTATCCACTTTTCAACAGTTTGATGAAAGAGAAAAGGTGATCAAGTCATTGTTTCGTTGTTACCAAGCAAGTCCTATTAATAATTATATTTTGTGATTACAATCGATTAAAGGATTCTTGTAACACAAAAAAGGATCTACGCAAACCAGATAGACCGGACAACTAATAAAGGAATCCCCAACTCACAGTTCAATAGAGAAGTAATAAATTCAGAAAAACTTGGAAAAAATTGCAAACAACCGAAATTGTAATTGAACCACTTTGTTTATGTAATGACGACTATGACCTTAGGACTTGAAAAAAAACTAAAGGTGAAATTAACCAATCAGATAACACAGAGAGAGGTCAATGAGATGGTGTAGATTGAAAAAGGCTATCAAGGACCTTCTTGTATTATCAATTAATTAAGACGTAGAAAAGTAGGTCATTTGGGACTTTATCAATACTGATATCAATCTTGCTCCAAGATTGTATCCAATATATTACTCTATTAAAATACTAAATCCTATGTCTTATCTGAGTAAAGAAAGTAGTATGATGTCCACTCTTAAAAAAACCAATTACTACTGAAGCTAACACTTATTGATACCTAACCTGTGTCACATAGATATGGTGATATATGCACACAAGAACGTTAATTAATTAGAAGCAGTTTCTGAGACATTGATGCTGTGATCCATAACAAAACTCCTTTAACTTAGTGAAAAATGATGCTCTACCTCTTTCGGTGTCTCGAACAATGTATTGAACGAGAACTCAGATAGGGAAGACCAATTTATAATTTAATCAACAATCACATGATGCTTTAATAAAATGCAAAAATCACTCATCAAATACATCATTTGCACATCTTTCAGTTGTCCTTTACATCCCTCATGATTCTTCCAATTCTGTTTTAATTCTAATTCTTTTCTATTCTCTTCGGTTCAATCTCCTCAATCTTCTTTTGACAAGTATCCCACTTCTGATTGGAGTTTCATACTACTGATGTCTGTTAACATTTGTAGCATACACCACAGTATCATTATTTATTTTCTCATTCAGATATGTATTAAATCAGTCTCCTAGTCTACCGAATCTGATATTATTTCGATAATAAGTTATGTTCGGACTATTTGATCTGGTTCTTCATGATTTTTTTTTTATACATGATTAGTATTGATCTATGATATCTAACCTGTTTTATAAATGTTATTAAAACTGATTAGCAATTCACATTGTAGACTTGAGTTTTAACAAAATAAGTAAATTTAGGTATTTGGGATTTTTAATTAAGTACACTTGGTAGTCAGTTGGTTATCGTATAGTGTTCATATTTGATAGTTTCTTCGATCTACACTTTGACAATGCGTATACACTAATAAATATTAATTGCAAAACAAAAACAATATGAAATTATATTAAGTTATGAATTTTCAAACAAAAAAAAATTATTCAAACAGAGCTGAGGATATTATTATTACCATCATTATTAATACCGTTCAACGTTCACCTAATATGAAACAATCACTATCAATGTCGCAGAATAATTCCGCTCTATTTTATGTCTATATGACAACATAATTCACTTTCTATATCTATCCTTCTTTTATAATCTACTTATATAAAGTTTAATTTATTATTAAATAAAATGATATTACTATTTCTATAATCTATTTCAATGCCTATAGAGTAGTTAATAAGTTGAAAGCAAACTATTGAATAATAATTTTAATTTTAAGGGGAATTTTACTATATCCCTATTAAAGTCTATAGGATTTCTTTTCCCTTCTTTTTTTTTTTGTTCAACATTTTGTAAGAGAAATAATAAATGAAAGTAAATGGATAAACTAAAAGTAGCAAATACTCTATAATCCATATAGCAACAAACATAAGTTGTATTAAAAAAAACACATATATATATATATACAAATACTTTAATCTACTCAAACTAACCGTTTATACTGTGAGAAAATTAGTTGGTTGTTATGTGTTTTTCCTTATCGGTGTTTTATGAATAATTTTTTGTTGTTGAAATTTTTCAATACTTTAACTTTAAAAATTATAATCCTCAAAAAAAACAACATTGTTTTTGTTTTTCTTATTGTTTTACTGGTAGAAAAAATTCTGTTCTTTTGATTTCTCCATTTTTTTTATATTTTATGTTGACAAAAAAAGGAGTGAATATTTAAATTTAAACATTAATCTGTTTTGAAGAATATAATCGTGAATCTAAATTGTAGTTATGGTTAGCAGAGATGGATAGTGGCTAGCAGTGGAATCTAGTTTGACACGCGTTTCGTCCTATTTGGGACTCGTCAGCTGGATGTACCTGCATCTCAGAGTTCATGTTCACTCTGGGACTCGAACCCAGTACCCTCGCTTCAAAAGCCATCGCGTTATCCACTCGGCCACTGAGTCCTGATAGCCACTTGCTTGTGTGATGGGGTGAAGTTTAAATTCAACTTAGTATTATTTGTTTGAATCTTCCCATCGATTTGTTAGGACTGCAACTGGTCAGTCCCTAATTGGCATATGTGCAATTAGAGACTGACCAGTTGCAGTCCTAACAAATCGATGGGAAGATTCAAACAAACAATACTAAGTTGAATTTAAATTGTAGTTGGTTGTTTGAGCAAGTTTTGTTTGTTCTTAAAAGGTTGAAAGTAGAGTAGAATATCTTTAAAATCTAATTTCTTAATACTGACTTAACAAAATACTTGATCATTTTGGTAATGTGTATTAAAATATTAAGATGAAGACATTATGTGTTATGTGATCAGTGTGTTGATGATTTTCCGTTGAATACTGATTAATCTCTGAATGGTAACCATTGACATAGTTATTTAGCCCATAAAACTGATCAAATTGCATCAAGTTGGAATGTGGCTATTGGTCTAAATGACTTAACATCATCTACGCTAAGTTTTTTGATGCCGGGCGGTTGATGGATGTCAGTGAGAAGCTATGTATTTGAGGGCTGAGAGCTATACATTAAATTGATCACAGACGATTTGTGGTCATACAAATAATCTAGCAGGATCAGTGGAAATGAACGACTAGAGTCGATATTTTACGATGAGCATCAGTTCTCTCAAGGCAACCGTGACCTCTTATTAACATCTATCATTTTACACAGAACCTAGTTTTAGGGATTTCTGTTAACAGCCTACAACCATATTGGGATAAGAATGAGAACTGTTAAGCAGTCCTATACAATTCTTTCTGATTTTTAACTTAGATTTTGATAAGTTCCAGTCTTCGTTTTATAAGTCAAAAAATTGAAATAAGTGATTTTATAGTTTCAAATCTCGACATTAAACCCCAACATTTTAGGAATAACTTCATGACAATACAGATATTTTAAGCTACTCTTATTTACACTTACAAATTAATGTTCATTTGAATAGAGGATTCGAGAACTGAATAATATCTGTAGAGGATTAATTCCTCTATATCTGACTCCAATAAATAAATAATATCCCGTTAACTGAATATTTAATGCAGACTAAATCTCCTAGTAGAATTACGGGTTTACTCGAGATTATTCAAAAGCCTGAACACCAGTTATAGAGATAATTTATTGTTGAAGTTTGGTAAAAATCCTCAAGCGTACAGATAGCAAGCACACAGGAAAACAAGTGAGTGAGCATTTATGTGTGTGTGTGAGTGTTAAAATCCATATATATTATGAGTTTCAATGGTTAAGGATAAATTATTGATTGTCTTTGCTTACAACCAATCAGAGAACAGATTACATATTGATGTGCAGACACATGAGCTCAATCAGAATCACACATAAATTTACAAGGTGGATTAAATGTCTAAATTACAGAGAACACACAAATAATACAGTACTTGAATAGGCTTGCTACATATTCATGACTTTATCACATTTTTTCTATGTTAACAACAATTTGAATTATATGCTTATTATTATTTTTTTTTGTGTTTCTATCCCAACAACAATTGAAAAAAATTTATTTTTTGTAGATATACCCTACAATGTGTCCTTCCATTGAATATGTTCTTAGAAAAAATCTACATATTTCTATGGTTTTGGCATTGTTTAGTTGGTATAATTACATTGAGTAGTTTTATTATTTGGTTTTATCGTATGGGATCATCAAAATGTCGTATAAAATTTATAAGAAAATATTTAAAAATTATGTCAGTTATGCGTGATACAGATAAAGCGGCAACTAGTAAATTTGTTGAAAATTATTTACGTCCAGATGGTGTATTTTTAATACGTTTAATATCAATAAATGTTGGTGATTTAATGGCTGGTGATTTAACTTGTGAATTATGGCATATTTATCGACATAAACGTTTACATGAAACTATGGAAGAACAAAAATATCTTGATGCATTTAGTAATAATACACCAGGAGATTATTTAATTAATAATAATAATAATAACAACAATAATAATAATACTAATGGTTCCAATTATATTGGTGAAACAAATGATTTAATATTAGGTGGTACAACTATACCATCTTCAAGATATTCAAATAAAAATCATTCGCCAACTGCACCACCTAATCAAAATACAATAATTAATACAACTTCAAATATTACAATACCTGGAACAAATATTAATAATGCAATGAATCATAGTTCCAGTAATAATGATGATAGTATTGTTTAAATGTATTCATTCAACTATATATATATACTTTAATGGACAATCAATAATTCATTAAATGATGATTACTTATTACATATATAAATTTGTATATGCACATTAACAATTATCGATTGTTCATCCATCTATCTATCTACCTATATATATAGCCATTCTCTTACGTCATGTATTAATCATTCAAATTATATCTATCAATTTTTTAATCAATAATTTAAACAGGTGCATTTCTGAAATGAACATCGATCATTATTATCATTATTATTATTATTACTAATATTACTATTATTATTATACTACACATGTTATTTTATTTTGATGAATAGAAGGATTGGAACTATTCATTGACCTTGAAAATAAATTTAAATTTATTCAATTAGTGATTAGTTAGTTATTCATCAGTCTTTTTTTGTTGTTTTGAAAATTTAAAAAAAATCAATAATTCAATAATAGTATTGTAACACATTGACAATAAAAAAATAATGGCTGTGTTGTTTGTATTACAAGTACTAAAGAAGAAGATCAGGTTAATTTTGTATTTTACAATGCGATATCTAATATGTAATATAAACATTATTTTATCATGTAAAATTTTTTTTTTAAATAATGTTTACTTATTTATTCAATTGAAAAGGAAAACTAGTATAATGTTTATAAAAGGAATTTAGTTTTCATAAGAGTAAACAAAACAATGTCTACATTTTTGTTTTGTTTCATTCAATAACAAGTGTTATATTATTCGTTATTTTAAATTTTGATTTTGTTTTTTCTCGAAATTTTCTCTATCGTTTTGCCCAATGAAGTTGTATATTAAAAAAAAAATTATGTGTAAAGATTTACATGCACACTTATAAATGAATGTTGATGGCAAATGCGAATTGGCAACAGTAAGACGACATATATACCACATTTTGTGATCAGTGGTAAGAATTTACATCTTTTAAAGCAAAACATATAATCAATATTAACATGGAATTCATTTTGAATGTAGGCACCTTATCTATTATAATTTTCATCCAGCTCTTTTACCTTATGGAAGGAGTATGGTGCCAAATAATGTAGGTGAACATGCACATTCTTTATATATATATATATATATGAAGCCGATCAGGTGAACAAACACATGTAACTCATTCCTGTTTAACTCTTTGCACAACATTTTTATGGTTTCGCACTACTTTTTGTTAAAATCTTTAGTTTAGCGTATTTAAAAATCTTACATTATATATATATATATATATATATATATATATATATATATATGACAAAACCTATTCTCATTCAAAAACCCAACCTTGATTTAACACATAATTTGTTGTTAGTATAAATTAATTATATACATAACGTAAACTAAGTATGTTTTCTTTTCGGTTTTCCGCGAAAAAATACTCACACACACGTATACATTTACATGTAAACACACAACCGTAAAATTCCGGATAATTATAGAGATTAAAACCAAAGAAATCTATTTCATTCTATATGCATTTATGTATTACAGATTGTAAGGGTATCAAAAAATATATTTATCAATTAACGAAATAAGCAGAATATCATAAAACTCTATCAGAGGAAAATGGCATGTTTACTGAGAAAAGCAGAAAGACTATTTATTTGTCTGTATAAACAACTCGTTCTCATTAATCATCCATTTCTGCTTACAATGAATTTATGTATACATAAATTAATTGAAGAAAACAATTCATTCAATTTGTATTCACGTTTTATAGCAGTCAACTAACCAATCAATCATTCATTCTTTCAGTTATCCACGTTTGTTTTCTCTTCAGAAATCTTCTCTTATCACTCTGTATGCTATATTCTTCCTTTCACTGTTTCTTCCCACCCCTACAGCATTCAATATCATTAACACATCATCATTACTGAAATCCAAAAAAATGCAACTAATGGTAGAAAATAGAAACGTCTCGTGTTTGTGACTTCTCTCGCTCTTTCTCTCTCTCTCTTTCCCTTTATATTTTTTTTCTATATCTATATACATACAGAGTTATATGAATGAATACAAACATTTACACGTAAAACTACAAAAACATCTATGCAATAAAAGCAAAATGAACGCATTGTTTATTTGAGCGTAAACGGGAAACCATTTTTTTATTTATTTTTGGAATGACAACAACAACAAAAAATGGAAGCTAATTTATCTGGAATGGGATACTGAAATAAAAAAATATATATCTATACATATATAAATGAATACACAGATGCTTTTTTCTAAAAAAAAAATGTAAATTCTTGATACAATTCATTGATCAATCAACTGATCCACTGATTAATGAGACATATGAAACATACTCACTCCCTCCCTCACTCACCCACCTACCCACTCACTGACATATGGTGCACATTATTTAAGATTACGTATAAGATTTTTTTAGAAAAAAATATTCCATATATATAAATATAAATATATATCCACATGTTTACAATGTTTATTATTTGCCAAAAGTCAAATACGATTTACAGAAAAATAATAAAAAAAATTTAGTACTATTTAACGTTCTTTTTATTTTGTTCAATGTGTTCAATTCAGTTTTTTTTTTTTCAAAAATCGTTTTACAATAATTGATAAATATATTACATTTTATGTGTTAAGAGAAGATTGAGAATAGGGGCTAGTTGTTATTGTCACCAGATCTGATACAATAGTGTACAGTTTTACATTCTTAACAGTGTAGTGAACGAGAACACCAATGAAGACAACCAAATGTCTTTTAACATAACATAAAACAATATCAGAAGGGGTTTTGTGGAGATTTCAAAAAACCCCTTTTGATCTATAATCGAATCCTCACTAGTGACTAACTTCAAGCAGTGACCAGTGGGGTTCGACCACGTCTGTTATTGAGATATCAACTCACTGAAGACAGTTGGCGAACAGTTGCTCAAACTTCGTGGATTGGTTGAAGTTAGACATTAACACCGTTGGATGCCGGCCGGCTCAGTGGTTTATCGGTTAAGTCCTCTGGCGCGAGACTGGTAGGTCTTCTGTTCGAATCTCTCGAGGCGGTATCGTGGATGTACACTTCTGAGGAGTCCCATAATAAAACGAAACGGCCGTCCAGTGCTTCCGGGTTTTCCATGGTGGTCTAGCTTCAATTGACTCATGATTTCAACAATAAAAATAAAACAATATGATGTTAACATCTGAGAATCATACAATAAATAATTCATTTGAAAAATATCCATCAACTGTCTTAGACTTCACTATGCCTTCGTTTCCATATCAACCACTGTTTGTTCTCGTTCCCTTCTCTTTGATTTTCAAAACCGTCTGCCGCCATTCATTCCACTTTTGATTGGTGATATATACTAATTATATCCGTCGACATAATTAGCACTTATCAAAATAATACATATTGATATAGAAAGTAGTTGTAATATGAGGAATTAATGTAGGGTTAAAAAGTAAGTGAGACTGGTAAATAACAACCGTGAAACAGTAATAAAAACTTGGGATCTAGAATAAAATAATGAAAATAATCGAACCAGTACGATTGAGTTTGATCTTTAACCATTGAATACAATTATTGTAGAAAGTCTGATTTATACCTCTTGATATATACTATATTCAACAGTTATTGTCCTAATCATTCTATATCATATTCTGGCTTAGCTCAATTTTCCCACTCTACTTCTTTGTTGATTATATTTTTATTAGTGAAATTTCGTATCAAGTCCCTATTGTCTGTTCAGGTAGATTTAGAAACTAAACAAATTACGTAACTGTTAGGGAGTTCTAAAGTATTACTCGAAAATGTCCATAGAGGCAGATAAAAGGCTTGAAAACACTTCATCTAATAAGCGTTGAATAGAAAGTTTCTAGAAACATCTAGTAAAAGGAGTCAAGTTAATTTTCTGTTTAGATATTTACCTTGACTTCTACTAATATTTGTTGTGGTTCTAGAAATTCCCAAAAATCGAGTTGTGTATAACTCTATGAATGAAAAACTAACATTGAAGTTAAAGGGTCTCTAAGCAACTCATGCCTCCCCTCTAACGTCATATTTAACGTAGTTAAGAGCGGCCAGGAAATAGGATTGAGTATTGAAGTGGATTAAAAGACCAGTAAAATCATGTAATATTTAGGTCATTTTCGTGTTATTAATTATGTTTTACATACTCGTCGGTTCAACTACGAGTCTTAATTAATGTACATTTTCATAAGTTTGTGCTTGTGACCACTTATCTTATTAACTGCTTCGATCTATATAAATTGAGTAACCAATTAACATGCTGATTGATTTCGCCAATCAATCCAAATCTTTGAGATCTGATTGGAATCAAGTCCACGCTACATCTGTTTATTCATTATTAAGGGTATTTTGTTGATTGGTATGCATGAAATACGACATTTTTCAATGTATTTCTCCTGAGAATTCCTAATATCTAATCTATAAGGTAAGGATGGTCACAATTCTCCAGGTCTAGGAGTTGTATAAGAATTAAAATCACAGGAATCGATCAATCAGTATCAGGTACAATTATAAGGGAGCGGCTGTACATATGTAACAAATTTCTTAGCTGACTCATTCCAACTCATATCCTCAAACATGTTGTATATTTTTATATATAGGCAATTACAGTAAATAATGATGAAGAGCCGTGATCGATCATTTGGTTTATTAATAAAATAAGTCTCTAATTTCAAGATTATACAATACCTTCATTAATCAGTTTACTTTGTAGGTGGATATTATTCATGGGGTAAGACTAAAAATCAAGGAGAAATGAAAAGATTCTTTGTTATAGTATAAGATTTTAAGCAACCCTTGATTATGACATCAACGGAAATTGAACACAGAACTTGCACAATGCTTGATCAACACTTAGCCATTAAACACAATTGGATTATTATTATACTGCGTCTATTCTTAACTTTATTTAACTTCATTTCCATTTCACATTGAAAAATTTAACGTAAGGTAATTCTGTAATAATCTTACTGAATCATTTCTTGTTTAAACATCTGGGCTACCTGTTCC